AAAAAAAAAATCAATCCATGTGATTCATCACATTAAAAGGATTTTAAAAATCACATGATCATATCAACCAATGTAAAAAAAAACATTTGACAAAATTCAACACTCATTCTGCAAAAAATATGAATAGAAATAGGAATAGACAGGAACTTCTTCAATTTGATAAAGAGCATCTAAACCAAAACTACAGCTGACATTATACTTAATGGTGAATGATAAGATTAACAGCAAGGCAAGAATGTCCATTCTCACAATCCTTATTCAACACAGTGCTAGAAGTTCTAATAATGTGCAATAAGGAAAGAAATGGAAATGAAAGGTATACAGAATAGGGAAGAAAAAATAAAAATGTCCCTATTTATAGATGACCTGATTGTCTATGGAGAAAATCACAAAAAAATATCCAAAAGAAGAAAAACCTCCTAGAACTAATAATTGAAAGTCATGGCAAACAAGATCCAATACAAAAACCCACTGTATTTCTATGTTAGCAATTAAAATGTGGACTCCAAAATAAAAAATATAAAATCATTCATAATCACTCGGAAATATGAAATACTTAAGTATAAATCTAACAAAACATGTACAAAACTTGTAAATTAATAACTACAACACACTAGCAATCTTGAGAAAAAAGAACAATGCTGGAGGCATCATGCTCTCTGATTTTAAACTATCATACAAAGCTGTAGTAATCAAAACAGTATGGTATTGGCATAAAAACAGACACATGGATCAATGGAACAAAACAGAGAGCCCAGAAATAAACCCATGCATATATGGCCAATTAATTTATGACAAAGGATACAAGAATATTCAATGGAGAAAGGACAGTCTCTTCAATAAATGGTGTTGGAAAAATTGGACAGCCACATGCAGAAAAATGAAACTGGGGACCACTATCTTACACCATACACGAAAATTAACTCAAAATGGATTAAAGACTTGAACCTAAGACCTGAAACTATAAAACTCCAAGAAAATATAGGCAGTAAGCTCTCTGACATTAGTCTTGGTGATTTTTTGCATTTGACACCAAAAGCAAAGGCGGGTGTCTGGGCGGCTCAGTCGGTTAAGCGTCTGCCTTCGGCTCAGGTCATGATCCCGGGGTCTGGGGATCAAGCCCCACATCGGGCTTCCTGCTCGGCAGGGAGTCTACTTCTCTCCTCTCCCTCTACTCCTCCCCCCTGCTCATGCTTGCACTCTCTCTAATGAATTAAAAAAAAACAAACAAAAGCAAAGGCAACAAAAGCAAAAATAAACAAGTAGAACTACATCAAACTAAAAAGCTTCTGCACAGCAAAGGAAACCATCAACCATCAATGAAAAGACAACCTACAGAAGGGTAGAAAATATTTGTAAATCATGTATCTGATAAGAGGCTAATATCCAAAATATATTTTAAAAAATCCATGTAACTATATAGCAAAAAACAATCTGGGTGGCTCAGTCGGTTAAGTGCCTGCCTTTGGCTCAGGTCATGACCCAGGGTCCTGGGATCGAGTTCCGTGTTGGGCTCCCTGCTCAGTAGGGAGCCTGCTTCTTCCTCTCCCTCTGCCCTTCCCCACCATTCATGCTCTCTCTCTCGCTCTCTCAAATAAATAAAAAAAATCTTTTTAAAAAAATGGGCAGAGGATCTGAATAGACAGTTTTTCAAAGAAGACATGCAGATGGCCAACAGGTGCATGGAAAGATGCTCAGCATCACTAATTTAGGGGCACCTGGCTGGCTCAGTCGGTAGAGCATGCGACTCTTGATCTCAGGGCTGTGAGTTCAAGCCCCACATCGAGTGTGGAGCCTACTTAAAAAAAAAAAATCACTAACCTAATCATTGGAGAAATGCAAATCAAAACCACAGTAAGGTATCACCCCACACCTGTTAGAATGGCTAGTATCAAAAAGACAAATTAGTGAGGATGTAAAGAAAAGGGAACTCTTGTGCACTGCTGATGGGAATAGCAACTGGTACAGCCACTATGGAAAACAGTATGAAGGTTCCTCAAAAAATTAAGTATAGAACTATCATATCATCCAGCAATTCCACTTCTGAGTATTTATACAAAGGAAAAAAAAACACTAACAAAGAAATATATGCACCCCATGTTCATCGCCACATTATTTACAATAGCCAAGATGTGGAAACAACCTAAGTGTCCATCAACAGATGAATGGATAAAGAAAATATGGGGTGTGTGTGTGTATACACACACAATAGAATATTATTCAACCATAAAAGAAAGGGGAAATCTTGCTATTTGCAAGAATATGGATGGACCTTGAAGGCATTATGCTAAGGGAAATAAGTCAGAGAAAGACAAATACTATATGATCTCACTCATATGTGGGATCTAAAAACAACAACAACAACAACAAAAAACCAAGCTCACAGTACAGAGAATAGATTGGTGGTTGCCAGATGTGGGGGTAAGAGTTAGGCAAAATGGGTGAAGGGAGTCAAAAGATACAAACTTCCAGTTATAAAGTAAGTCATGGAGGGGCGCCTGGGTGGCTCAGTCGTTAAGCGTCTGCCTTCAGCTCAGGTCATGATCCCAGGGTCCTGGGATCGAGCCCCGCGTCTGGCTCCCTGCTCAGCAGGAAGCCTGCTTCTCCCTCTCCCGCTCCCCCTGCTTGTGTTCCCTGCTCTCGCTGTGTCTCTCTCTGTCCAATAAATAAATAAAATCTTTAAAAAAAACAAATAAAGTCATGGGTATGTAATGTACAACATGGCAACTATAGTTAATTATACTGTACTGCCTATTTAACAGTTGCTATGAGAGTAAATCTTAAAAGTTCTCATCACAAGAAAAAATTCTACAACTATGTACAGTGATGGATCCTAACTAGCCTTATTGTGGTGATCATTTTGTAATACATGCAAATACCAAATGATTATGTTGTACACATGAAATTAATATAATGTTGTAAGTCAATGAGACCTCAATAAAAAACAGAGCACGGTAGGGATGCCTGGGTGGCTCAGTTGGTTAACTGTCTGCCTTCGGCTCAGGTCATGATCCCAGGGTCCTGGGATTGAGTCCCATGTCGGGCTCCCTGATCAGCAGGGAGCCTGCTTCTCCCTCTGCCTGTGGCTCCCCCTGCTTGTGCTCTCTCTCTGACAAATAAATAAGTAAAATCTTTAAAAAAAAAAAAAAAGGCATGGTATTGGTGAAAGAATAGACAAATATATCAGTGGAACAAACAGAAAGGAAATACACCCAGGCGCCTGGGTAGCTCAGTTGGTTAAGCACCTGACTCTTGCTTTCAGCTCAGGTCATATTCTCAGGGTCATGAGATCAAGCCCCGAGTCAGGCTCCATGCTCAGTGTGAGTCTGCTTGTTCTTCTCCTCCCCTTCGCCACTTGCTCACTTGCGTGCATGTATGTACATGTGTGCGCACTCTCCCTCAAAGAAAAAAAAATCCCTGCTCAGCAGGGAGTCTGCTTCTCCCTCTGGACCTCTTCCCTCTCGTGCTCTCTATCTCTCATTCTCTCTCTCTCTCAAATAAATAAATAAAATCTTTAAAAAACAACAACAACAACGAGATACCATTATACACCTATTAGACTGGTTAAAATCGAAAAACCCGACAATACCAAATGCTGACGAGGATAGGGAGCAACAGGATGTTCTCATTCATTGCTGGTTTGAATGCAAAATGGTGAAGAACTTTGGAAGACAGTTTGGCAGTTTCTTGCAAAGCCAGTCTTACCATATGACCCACAATTGCACTCCTACTTATCTACCCACGTGAACTGAAAACGTATGCCCACACAAAAACTTATATATAAATGTTCATAGAAGCTTTATTCATAATTGCCAAAAACGGGGAACAACTAAGATGTCCTTCAGTAGGTGAATGGATGAGCAAATTGTGGTACATCCATACAATGGGATATTATTCAGTGATAAAAATAGATGAGCTATAAAGCCATGAAAAGACATGGAGGAAGCTAAAATGCAAATTGCTAAGTGAAAGAAGCTAATCTGAAAAGGCTACAGACTATGATTCCAACCATATGACATCTTAAGAGAGGTAAAACTATAGAGATGACTGAAAAAAAAGCAGTGGTTGCCAGAGGTTCAAGCATAGGGAGAGAAAGGATGAATAGCTGAGGCACAGATGAAACTGTTCTGTATGAAACCGTAATGGCAGATATGTGTCATTAGGCATTTGTCAAAACCTAAAGAAGCTGCAACACAAAGAATGAACCTTACTATAAACTGTAGACTATAATTAATAATAGGGTATCCATATTGGTTAATTGTAACAAATGTACTACACTAATGCAAGACATTAATCATGGGGAAACTATGGGGGGGTGTAGAGTGGTATATGGAACTATATGTACCATTTTTCTCAATTATTCTATAAATCTAAAACTGTACTAAAAAAACTAAGTCAATTAATGTTTGAAATGCACTTAACATACAAACCAGCAATTGCATTCATGTGCATTCATCTCATACAAAATCCTTACACAATCATAGCATCTTTATTCGTAATAGCCAAAAACTGGAAACAGCCAAGATGTCCTTCAACAAGAGGTTGGTTAAGCAAACTGTGGTACATTGATACCATGGAATACTGTTCAGCAATAAAAAGGAACAAGCTAGTCATATACTCAACAATCTGCATGAATCTCCAGAGAATTCCGCTGCGTAAAAAAAGCCAGTCCCAAAAGGTTACACACCGTATTATTCCGTTTATATGTCATGCTTGAAATGACAAAATTATAGATTAGTGATGGCCAGGAGTTATGGAGGGAGCAGGGGAGGAGGGAAGTGGTTGCGTCCATTAAAAGGCAAGATGAGGGGTCCTTGTCGTGTTGGAAATGCTCCCTATGTCAATATCCTGGTTGTGATACTGTACCAAGGTTTTTCATGTTCCGTTGGAGGAAACTGGGTAAATGGTACATTGCATTTGAATCTACAATTATCTCCAAATTAAAATTTATCTTAAAAAAATAAAAGAAAAAACTTTTAAAGTAGGGTCCTCCTTCTTACCTCAAATGATCTGCCAGGCTGTCCTGGAACCAGGGCAGGGAACCTCTGGGGTGATTTCCTATTAGCTGGCATGTTCACCCTGGGTCTCAGCCCACCTTCCAAAGCTGGAGGGGAGTCGGTATGTGGGCTGCGGTCAGAATGAATGGAAGATCCCACAGCCTCCAGTAAGGAGAAACCTCAACAGCTCCACAGAGACACCAAGAAATCCTAAAAGGACAGTATCCATGTCATCAGCGTCATTCCGCATTTACACCACAAAGTTCAGCAACCCCACTCTGAGTGTTAGGGTGGATTATGGAAACAATCACGATATCTGAAGTCAAATTAATGATCTCAGAGTCTTTTACTCCGGGGTGGCTCCACAGGGAGCTTCACACCTTACCTAGCCAGCCTAGTCCTCAATTCTAGGTTCAAGGTGGATCTGGGTTTGCAGGGAGGGCAGAATTGGGGCAACGAATGGTGCTAAAGCCCTATGGGGTGGACAGAGGAAGGACTTGTCCATGGGGACCTGCTGGGTGACTGTGGAGGCAGGAAACCTGGAAACCTGGTAATCTGAACGAAAGGTATCTCTTCTGCCCTCTTTAATTATTTTGCCATTTTAGGGTGAAAAATCCCTCTTGAATTCTTCTACAGGAAGTTCTTAGCCTCTTCTTTCCAGAAGATGGTTCAACATTAGTAATATTTATTAATCAACAAATGGGGGCGGATGCTGCTATTAACTTACACCAGAAAAGCATCTGACACAATTCAGGAGACATTATGAATACAACTCCAACTAAAATTAGGGAAGATGTAAATCACTTAAATATCACGAAAATCATTCACAAAACACAGCCTTGAACTACTATGCTAAAAAGTAAAACGATGAAGCTATTGCCATTAAAATTAACAAGATAGGGATGTCTAATATAACTCAAAATTGTTTTGCTGGCTCTAGCTCACACTATGGAAGATGAAACAATCAGAATGGCTATTGCAAGGAAATGGCAATGTGGCTTTCTTTGCCAATGATATGATTTTATACATAGAAAAAACAGACACTACTAGCATTCATAGGGCAATTTGAAAAGGGGCTGGATACCAGATAAAATTATAAGAGCAGATAGTTTTTCCTCTATAATAGCAATGATCATATGAAAACGGGGAAAAACCCATTACTAATGATAGCAAGAAATACATAAAATATATTTAAGAAGTTGGACTTCTACAATTTAAAAAAATTGACAAATATAAAATAGTCACACAGATATACCATATCCTTGGATAAGATGTGCTAAAAATGTCAACTCTCCCAAAAAGCATTACATTGAAGTAATATAAATAATAAAAAAGAAACACAAAGCTCGATAATAATAAGATGGTGTATGTAAAATTTTGTGGAATGCAGCTGAAGAGATTCTTAAAGAGAAATTTATGTTCTAAATGGTTTTTAACAAAGAAGAAAGGCTGAACATTAATGAATTAACATCCAATTTAAAAAGTTAAAGAGAAAATGGTACAGGTAAGAGCAGAAATCAAGGAAATAGAAAACAAAGGTACTTCAGAGAGGATCAACAAGGCCAAAAGTTGGTTCTTTGGAAAGACTAGTAAGATTAGCATACCCCTGGGGAGACTGATAAGGAAAAAATCTAAACACACTCTATTAAGATTTGAAAACAAGACGCAGCAAGGAATCTAAAAACTGACTACCCCAGAAGCCCCCATCCCTGACCTCCACAGATTCCCATTCACCAGATTCTTCAACTCCCCACCCATGGACCTTACAAACTGACAATTCGTCATTCCCCAAAGCCAACAAAGCCGTCACCTCAAAATCACTGATGACTGTCACGCCACAAAACCTCGTGCACTCGCTTTAGCGCCGCGCGCCAACAAGACTTAAACGTCCTCTGAGGACCACTTCCGTTTCCTGTCCTCACCCCGACAGTGCCCCTTCGGGGGGTGTTGGTCTCGCACACATCGTAAGGGCTGTGATGCTGTGGTCTACTCACTCTGAGCAAGGGGCAGTTATGGATCTGCAGAGATTTTGTCCATGAGTGGCGTTGTTGGGCGAAGAGCATGGCTGTGCCGAGGCTTTCCTCCATGGAGGCCGCCATCTTAGCGCCCGTTCCGTACAGTGGGCTGTTCCACCGAAGGAGGGGGCGGGGGGCGTTGCTCAGGGGTAGAAACCTGAGGGCAAGCATTCCGGGAGAAGTTGGTCTTTGGAACTGGGTTCTATAGGTCTGTGCAAAGTTTACAGAAGCAGAGGTGCCGGGGGCAGGGGAGATGTGTCCAGATCTTTAAAGGAGATGCCACTGGGGAGAAGGGGAAAAACCAGGATTAGTTTCCTCGAGAAGATGTCACTCGGAGGAAAGGAGAAATTAGAATGGTACAGTCTCCCTCCTGGCCGATACCACTGGGCAAGAGGGGGAAGGAGTCAGTGTGGTACAGTCCTCTTTGGAGATACCATTGGGAAGAGGTGGGTAAAGTCAGGTTATTGTTGATCCCCTCCTGGGTGATACCACTAGAGAGGAGTGGGGAGGAGTCATAGTGATACATTGTTTCGATGTGCTGGAATTGGCAGAGAGGGGAATTGAGACCCCCTCAATCTCCATTACCCCACTAAAATGATAGTGGCTAGAAACAGTAATAATAATAACCTTTGATATAGACAACTAATATTTTTAAGCAAACTGCCAAGAGAAAAATATTTAGAAAACATTGTAAACATACTTTCGCGGAAAATACATCTCCGAGACACGCCCCTAACTCCTCCTGTCAACCAGTTTGCAGCCACTTGACCTCTCTTTTATGGGAATTTAGGAGCTACTGCGTACTCTTGGGAGAGAAGAGAGAATTCTAGGTGTTCTTCACCTCTGAACCCCTAACCTAAACATTCTTCAAAACCTACTCCTACATGTACCCCTCCTGCAGGTCTTCTCTGACAAGAGGTAGAGGGATTTTTTCCCTGCTGAAGACATTTCAAACACAACAGGTAGACCCTAGCTAAGCTTGGGCATAGATTGCTGGGTCCCCTAAGAACATTCAGACCCTCTCTCTGGGTCTCAGCACAACAGTCTGGAGAGTTAGAGTGTCAACTTCTCAGTATTTGTGAATTGAACGGGAAGAAAGAGTGGCAAATGTGAGAACACTAGTGTAGCACACACACTTCTACAGAAATTTCCAAAACATTCTTGTCATGACTTTTGGGCAACATCTCAAATCCTGGACTGTGCTAACTTCTACCATCAGTGCTTCCTGGGCTGATCTCAAACCTGGGTCTTTCTTAACTCTACCAACACTTTGTTGCACTCTTCTGATCTGAATTCATGTGCTCTATTAATGATTTCATCATCAGTGCCTCTGTATTTTAACCATGAATCCAAGATGCTGCTAACTCTTTTACCATATGTACCCTTTTTTTTATAGACTGAGAGAGTAAGCATTTGTTGATTTTCCACTATCAATGCCTCTCTGGTCTAGATCTCAGCTATTGGACCATGGTTAACTTTTCTACCATCAATGTCCTTTGGATTAGACTTCCAAAACAGACATATGTTGCAGATGACTGGGTTCCAGTTAAAACCAGAGGGGAAATGATGTCTGAAGAATAACAGAGGCCCAAGTTCAAGAACTGGACCTGAGGACCATCAAAGGTATGAGTTCATTCATGGTAGAAGATTGCTCACAAGGCTCGGCTTATGGTCAGTAAAACAAGATGGTGATTTCTGGCAAAATCATTAGCAGTTGTTTTTAGATCAAACCAGGGAGATTGATGATGTTGAAAAGTTCATATTTTCTTAAGATATAGACATGGAATCGTTAATGGAGGTCCAGGGTTCCAGGTCAGAAGTGATGGTCTGTCACTTCAAAGAACAGCTTATAAAAGACAGAGGCTTCCATCTTATTCTCTCTCTCTCTCTCTGTCTCTCTTCATCCCTCATATCACTCACTCTGGGAGAAGCCAGGTGCTATGTCATAATGACACTCAGGCAGGCAGCCTTTGGAGAGGCCCATCTGCCAAGCACACCTGCCCAATAGCCAGCCAGTGAGGAACTGAGGCCTCTAGCCTGTAGCCATATGAATGAGCCAACCTCCAGCCTCAGCTGACTAACAGCCCCAGGCAACAACTTAACTATAGCATCAGTTAGAGACCCTGAAACAGACTCTTTAAGCCAAGCCTCTCCCAAGTCCTTAACGCCACAGACACTGTGAGATAATAAATGTTTGTTGTTTTAACCTTTACGTTTAAGAGTAATTGGTTGAGGGCGCCTGGGTGGCTCAGTTGGTTGAGCGACTGCCTTCGGCTCAGGTCATGATCCCAGGGTCATGGGATCGAGTCCCGCATC